CTCTTCACATTTCATACATCCTATTATTTCTACTAAGACAAGATCTGCCATGCAGCTCACAAGAAACACAAGATCTGCCATAAAACGCGAAATTAACATCCGATTCCATTCAGATTTGGCACATCTCAATATTTCTATCAACACAAGATATGTTATAAAGATGGTAGAGATCGCACCATTCCTTCTGGTAACTCCCCCACAAAGGGTAAACCTTTTGAATAACCAAATCGATCATAAAATCCAAAATAAGCATCCGGTTTTCTTCATATTTCACACATCCCACTATTTCTACTCTGGTGTGAAGATGGAATATATCGGTCCACTCCTTCTGGTACCTCCCCCACAAAAGGGGTCACAATTTTGAATATCCATGAAGCTCATAAAACGCGAAATTAATATTCGATTCCATTTAGGCTTAGTACATATAATTTTTCAGAAAATTCGAATAATTCCTAATGCTGAAACTCTTTTTGGATGGAGATTTAAGTGTTTTAATATTTTCTAAAGAATTTTTTAATTTTTAAATTATGTTTTTATTTAGCGATAAATTTTGAATTCGTGTTTCGTTTTTGGAATTGACATAAATTGAAGTAACTTTAACTTGTCTCTGGTTTACTACCTTTCTGCATTTCAAATCGTTGTTTTTCACTCTATTTTTTAGCGTTGTAATTAGCTTGTATTAAAAAAAAAAAAATATTTACAAAACAAAAAAAAAAGAAAAAAAAAAAAACTATTAAAAAATCTGTAACTTCTGGCCGAACTTTTAATACCCTCCAGCATTTGGTACAAATTTGGCAATTTTCAAAAAAAAAAAAAAAAAAATCTGTTAAAATCTTAAAAATACCGAATGCCTATACGATGACGTGGACCTGCATAGGCAACTTTTGTCATAAGTTATTACAATATTTAAATGGGAAACTTGAAGAAAAATCTTATTATAATGTAGCTAAAATCATAAAAAAACCGAATATCGGGGGTTACGGTATATGGGGGCTATACGAAGACGTGGACCTACATGGCCCATTTTCTGTTTTATGCCACCTTCCAATACCAAATTTGGAACGATACCGTTAAATAATGTCGCTAAAATCATCAAAATACCGATTATCGGAGGTACCGTTATATGGGGGCTATATAAAGACTCATTTTTTTGACTTAGGATGTAGTATCCATTACGAACTTCAAATACCTAATTTGAAACAATTCCGGTGAATAATGTCGTTAAAATCATCAAAATACAGAATATCCGGAGGTGCCGTTATATGGGGGCTATACGAAGACGTGGACCTACATGGCTCATTTTTTGACTTATGATGAATACCAAATTTGAAACAATTTCGGTAAATAATGTCGCTAAAATCATCAAAATACTGAATATCTGGGGGTACCGGCTAAATCGTCTTAGAATTTTACGCTGATCAAGAATATATATACTTTGTTGGGTCTGACATGAGTATTTCGAGGAGTTACAAACGGAATGACAAAATTAATATACCCTCCATAGTATGGTGGAGGGTATAAAAAAAAGTTGAATTTATAATATAATTTGGCCGGAATATGTACTTCTCAAAAATCTGTCCTTTTTCATTTTATGTTAATCCTTTAATATTTTCGACTCTAAATTGTTTACAGACAAAACATAACTTGATGAATACAATCATTGTTGCATCCCAGGCATACGCTATTTAAATTCGTTTTGTTAGATTGATTCGAAAAAAAAGACAGGTTAATCGCTTTTGATGCAGCATACCTTTAGGCTAATGAAAAACAAACAAGTGTTGCCTACATCTAGGCCTTTTGGGTTTTCGATTGAAACACGTGTATAATCTTAGCTTAAGCTATTGGGAGGAACAGTATATTAAATTTATTTTCATGATGTTCCTGTTGTTTTTGTTGTGTTCGGTGATTTATCTGGATATTATGCCACTTATTTACACAAAGGATAGAAATTTAATTAAATCAGCTTGTTCTTTTTTCTGGCACACTTTCTACGGATTTTTTTTTTTTTTTGGTTTCTTTGCTTTCGTGTTATTAAAATGCTTGATGTAATTTGAAATATTTTCTAAATACATAGGCAGATTTAGATATCATAGCCAGCTGTGGCTGTGTTTCACTCATTCTTATTGTGTCTGCTTGTATATAGGTATATAGGAGCATCGCCATAGAAATATATCTGCATATATACTTAAATATTTTCGTTTTGTTTTTTTTTTCTATTTCATGGTATATTTACTTAGTGTTTTTGTCATTTTAATGTACTTACAGAACGCAAAAGACGCTGCAGCCGCTGCCGGAACGACTGAAGAAGAAGAAGAAGGAAAACAGAAAAAAATCACAAAAAAAACAACGACATTTCAATAATCGACGAACATACCAAGAAACAAACATATAAAACAAGAAATATCCCTACGATTGGGGTACTAAAAGATAGACAACGAAAAGAGAAACGTACAAACAAAGAAACCTCCGCACTATATTAAGAATTAAGAGAGAGAAAATTTCAAAATAACTATGAAATGAAAGACACAATTTTTTTTTAATACCAAAATTATTCATATTAAGGATTAATACACGGACGCTTGGACGCACCAGACACAGTTCCTGTGCAATTTCTAAATAATTTCATCACTTAAATTTCCACTCTCTAGTATAAAGCGAAAAATAAGGAGGAAAAGAAACAAAAAAAAAAAAAAAAAAAAACAACGAAACGAAATCAGTGCGACAAAAAACAGCATCAGCAGCATTTTCTTTTACCAACAACTGCGACGAACAAATTCCTGAACATATATTTTGCTGTTGTTGTTCTTTTTCGTTCAGCTTATTTGTTTTCGAATAACATTATTCACTAACTTAATACATGCTAAGAAAATAGCCGCTTTTATATTGTGCCACCTAACAAACAATGTTCTTTTTTTTAAATTATTGTTACTGTACAGTGTGTCGAAACAGGTGTTTTAATTCATACATCAAATTAATCCAAACTCCAAAACTTTTCAAGTCATCTTTTCTATAGGAAGAGTTCTCGTCCGTGAATTTTTCTATAGAAAAAGTTTTCCTTCGTGAACTTTTCTATTGGCAAAGTTCTCGTCGATGAACTTTTCTATAGGAAAAGTTCTCGTCGATGAAAGCCGTCTCCGAGAAACTTTTCTATAGCGAAAGTCCTTTTCGAGAAACTTTTCTGTAGCGAAAGTCCTCTTCGAGAAAATTTTCTATAGTGAAAGTCCTCTTCGATGAAATTTTCTATAGGAAATAACCTCTTCGAGGAACTTTTCTGTAGGACAAGACCACTTCGATGAACTTTTCTCATTTTCGTCATCTTCGAGGACCTTTTCTATAGGAAAAGTCCTCTTCGAGAAACTTTTCTATAGCGAAAGTCCTCTTCGAGGAACTTTTCTATAGGAAAAGTCCTCTTCGATGAACTTTTCTCATTTTCGTCATTTTCGAGGACCTTTTCTATAGGAAAAGTCCTCTTCGAGAAACTTTTCTATAGCGAAAGTCCTCTTCGAGAAACTTTTCTACAGCGAAAGTCCTCTTTGAGAAACTTATCTATAGCGAAAGTCCTCTTCGAGAAACTTTTCTATAGGAAAAGTCCTCTCCGATGAACTTTTCTCATTTTCGTCATCTTCGAGGACCTTTCCTATAGGAAAAGTCCTCTTCGTGGAACTTTTCTATAGGAAAAGTCCTCTTCAAGGAACTTTTTTATAGCGAAAGTCCTCTTCGAGGAACATTTCTATAGGAAAAGTCCTCTTCGAGGAACATTTCTATAGGAAAAGTCCTCTTTGTGGAACTTTTCTATAGGAAAAGTCCTCTTCGTGGAACTTTTCTATAGGAAAAGTCCTCTTCAAGGAACTTTTTTATAGCGAAAGTCCTCTTCGAGGAACTTTTCTATAGGAAAAGTCTTCTTCGATTAACTTTTCTATAGGAATAGTCTTCTTCGATGAATTTTTCTATGGGAAAAGTCCCCTTCGATGAACTTTTCTATAGGAAGTCATCTTCGACGAACTTTGCTATAGGCAGAGTCTTTTTCGAGGAACTTTTCTATAGGAAAAGTCCTCTTCGATTAACTTTTCTAAAAAATTTTTCAATGAACCTTTCCTCTGCGATATTTTTTTATATAATTTTTTTTTTTTTTGTGAAAATTTACATTTTCGACACTGTGCATTGATGCTGCTATTTTATCTTGTGTCTGTGTTTTTTTTTTAATATATTTTTCTGTTTCATTCTAAAAACCAAAAATAACACTTAACGTGCATTCAGAACAGCATCATTCCCCGAATCTCAGCTATTCAGCTAGCATCGGTGGGATTTTTAAAAAGAACACCGCAATTAGTAGTACCGCAGCTGTCTTCGATTGCTGTTGCTTTCTTCTAGAAACGAGAGGAACTAAAACTGTCGCCAACTTTTAAACGAAGAAGAACAAGAAAAAAGTCTACAGCCTGCCACTCAGTAAATATAAAAAATTGTATTGAATTGTGTGACGACGACCAGACAAATCAAAAAATAGAAATTCTTGCCGTGTGTGTGTGTGACAAATGTTGTAGAAAAAGTCAGAAGAACAACGAAAATATCTATTCAATGCTTTATAAAAATACCAACAAAATGTGTTTTTCGAAATAGTGCTTAAAATATAATGAAGTTTTAGAAAAAACAATTTTTGGTGACAAAAAGCTAGTGGTGAAACTAAGCGAAAAAGAAGCATGTCAATTTTAAATTTAATATACATATATATATATTTTTTTACCAAATTGAGTGAATAATACAAATCATAAAACAAAATTAAAAGGAGAGAGGGAGAAAAAAATCAAACCTACTTTTAGGCGCTACCAAGTGTAAATGAAGAATTGAACAAATTGAAACTTTTAAAGAAAGAAAAATTCAATTTACAAAAATAAATATATAATATAAATATAAAGAATATGGAGTGATACACACTCTGTCTTCTTTTTTAGATTAACTAATTTCAATTGTGTTTAAATTTCTTTTCTTTTTTTAAACAACAGCCATTAACTGACATTATCCTTGAAAGCCAAGCTTAGCTTCAAATTGAAAGAAAAAGTGAAAATAAAAAAAATTCAAAATATTTCAAACCAAAAGCTTATTACGTTTATCAACCAAAAAAAATCGCAGAAAAATCAAACAAAGCAATACCTAATTTTTTTAATAGAAATTTAATTGTGAGCAATTGAGTTTTAAAAGAAAGCCAAACAAAAGGAAAATCAACGACAGGCAATAAATTAGCTAATTACAAATCGCCCATCAACATAACTATCAACACCACCACCAACAGCAGCTGCTGTTTGCCGATACCATATTAACTTATTATTTGCAGCTACATTGGTTAGCTGTGCCCGTCGAATAGATTTTCTTCTTGACCCCCCAGTTACCCAGAAACACTTTCAAAATTCTGCCCATAACAAATTTCAAACTTCAGCCACAGCCTATGCAAAAAATGGCAGCGCCCGTTGGAGCAGCGCCGGCGGCTATTGAAGCCCCGCTTTCAGCCCCAAAATATGGTACACTAATACCGAATCGGATTTTTGTCGGCGGCATTAGGTAAGTGTTTTATCATTTTCCCATGCATGAACAGTACTTTTTACCCAACATGCACAGCAGGGCAGATATCTTTAATATTAATTACAAGGACATATCTTTTTATATGAGAATACACACAAAAATTTTAGATTGACACGACATTCATTCATTCATTAGATTCAGAAACCAGTAAAAACTTAGAAATCGAATTTTTGTAGCCTTGGCGGATATTGTTTTTATATTCTTCCGTGATGCATAAAGTTCTTAAACTCCTCTAAAACGTTAGAAAGTATGAATCAGTTTGAAAGCAGATATTTACCCTCACTATTAACACATATCCTTTCGTCCTCAAAACGGAGATTTGTTTCCCATATTATAATTACACTTGGCAGCACAAAAATAATTACGTAGAAAATTCATCAGATTATGAAAGTAAAGTTAAAACAACTTAAAAAGCAGTGAGTTCGGCCGGGCCGAACTTTGATAACCCTTCGCAATTTGGAACGAATTTGGAATTTTTCAAAAAATAAAATCCGTTAAAAATTCTGTTCAAATATTAAAAATACCGAATATAGCCGCTATATTGGGGTTTATACGACGTGAACCTACATAGGCTTTGTTTGTCATAAGCCATTACCATATTCAAATTCGAAACTTGAATAAACAGTGAATAATATAGCTAAATTATCAAAATACCGTATATAGGGAGCTTACGTTATATCGGAGCTATACAAAGACCTGGACCTGCATAGACAATTTTCTGTCACAGGCTGTAGCATCCATTATGAACTCTAAATACGGTATTTGAAACAATTCCGGTGAATAACGACGCTAAAATCATCAAAATACCGAATATTGGGAGGTACCGTTATATCGGAGCTATACGAAGACCTGGACTTGCATAGACAATTTTCTGTCACAGGCTGTAGCATCCATTACGAACTTCAAATACGACATCTCAAATAATTTCGATGAGTATTTTACCTAAAATCGTCAAAATACCGAATATAGGGAGGTACTGATATATGAGGCCTATGCGAAGACCTGGACCTGCACTAAATACGCTATTTGACACAATTCCGGTGAATAACGACGCTAAAATCATCAAAATACCGAATATTGGGAGGTACCGTTATATCAGAGCTATACGAAGACCTGGACTTGCATAGACAATTTTCTGTCACAGGCTGTAGCATTCATTACGAACTTCAAATACGACATCTCAAATAATTTCGATGAGTATTTTACCTAAAATCGTCAAAATACCGAATATAGGGAGGTACTGATATATGAGGCCTATGCGAAGACCTGGACCTGCACTAAATACGCTATTTGACACAATTCCGGTGAATAACGACGCTAAAATCATCAAAATACCGAATATTGGGAGGTACCGTTATATCGGAGCTATACGAAGACCTGGACTTGCATAGACAATTTTCTGTCACAGGCTGTAGCATCCATTACGAACTTCAAATACGACATCTCAAATAATTTCGATGAGTATTTTACCTAAAATCGTCAAAATACCGAATATAGGGAGGTACTGATATATGAGGCCTATGCGAAGACCTGGACCTGCACTAAATACGCTATTTGACACAATTCCGGTGAATAACGACGCTAAAATCATCAAAATACCGAATATTGGGAGGTACCGTTATATCGGAGCTATACGAAGACCTGGACTTGCATAGACAATTTTCTGTCACAGGCTGTAGCATCCATTACGAACTTCAAGTACGACATCTCAAACAATTTCGATGAGTATTGTACCTAAAATCGTCAAAATACCGAATATAGGGAGGTACTGATATATGAGACCTATGCGAAGACCTGGACCTGCACAGACAATTTTCTGTCATAGGCTGTAGTATCCATTACGAACTTCAAATGCCACATTTGAAACAATTCCGGTGAATAATGACGCTAAAATCATCAAAATACCGAATATCGGCTATACGAAGGCGTGGACCTGCTTAGACAATTCTCTGTCTTAGGCTGTAGTACCCATTTCGAACTTCAAATACCAATTTGAAACAATTCCGGTGAATAATGTCCGGGACTACTTTTGGAAATTTTTGGATTAAGATTCTTCGGAATCCGTGCATGTAGTAGTATCTTCGGCAATATGAAGGGAATCCCACAGTAACTTTATATTTAATGATAGTTTCTATTATCTCTAAAGATATGGGAAACATATTATTTTTCTGAAGATATGGGAAACATATTAATACTGTGATTGTTTTGGTCGAAAATGTTACGCTTAAATTAAAAGTAAAACAAGTTAAATAGTATCAGTCGGTCTTGCCTACAGATATATACCCCATACGATTATTCACACTGTTTACCTTTTATGGGAGGAGGTTCCGAAGCAGTTGGATAAGACTGATATAAATAGTACAACGTTCCAGATTTGGACTATAGCGACTACTTCCTATACTTTATATGAGATATGTGCACATTTTTGGAAAATATCGAAATCTAATGCAGATCAAAATATTGGTATGTGCCAAATTTGAATGAAATCAAACATTTTTATGCGAAATCATAAATTCCGATTAATTTCATATTCATATCCTATACCTGCCTAAGGGAAATGTTTAGATATAACAAGTTGTATAGAATCGCCGAATTGTATAAAATGCCGAATATAAATATTGGAAATTTTGGCCCTTTGTAGGTGATGTACCAGAAGGGGTTCGCAGATACATGTCATATTCATAAGAGATCTTGCGTTACAAAAAATATTTGGATGTGTGAAATTTGAAGAGAGTTGTATGCTTATATCGCTTTCTTTTGAGCATTTTGTTTTTCTTGAATCTTGAACCCTTTGTGCGGGAGCTACCAGAAGAAATGGTCCGATCTCTACCGTCTTTATAACAATTCTTGTATTGATGGGAATATTGAGATCTACCAAGTCCGCATGGAATCGGATGTTAGTTTTGCGTTTGATGAGCCTTATGGATTCTCAAAATTTTGACCAGAAGGAGTGGACCGATATATTCTATCTTCACACCAGACCTTGGGCTAATAAAAAGTTTGTGATGTGTGTAATTTAAAGAGAACCTAATGTTTATTTCGGATTTTATGATCGTTTTGTTTATTCAAAACTTTGACCCTTTGTGGGGGAGGTACCAATAAATGGTCCGATCTGTACTATCCTTTTAACAGACCGTATGTTGATGGAAATATTGAGATTATCAAGTCTGAATAAAATCGGATGTTAATTTCGCGTTTTATGAGCTTCATGGATATTCAAAATTTTGACCCTTTGTTGGAGAGGTATCAATACGAGTCGAACGTTATATTCCATCTACACACCAGACCTTGGATTAATAAAAATATTGTGATGTGTGTAATTTGAAGACAATCGGACAAAATTTTGACCCTTTGTGGGCGACTGAGCAAATATAAGGATTTGCAAAGTTTTAACAAAATATCCTTTCTCTTTCTGTGCCTCTCCCTTGGGGTGGAGGTACAAGAAGGAGTGGACCGATATTGCCCATCTCCGAACTCGATCTTAGTTTGACATTACGATGTACCAACTTTGGATCAACTCGGATACTCCCTTCGAGAGTTTTAGTGCGCACCAGACAGACAGACAGACGGACGAACATCGCTAGATCGACTCAAAATGTCCTGAAACGGATTATGTCGAAAGAGACCAAGGGGCTAAAACCGTTATTTCGATAAGGCTGATGGTATAAAAATTCAATTTTTTTCGGGAACATTTTTGAAATGCAATATCGTTAGAGCACTCTAGCATTTAAATGCGAATAAATCTTTTGTGTCTCGTACCATCGCTCGTTACCCTTTTGATACTGGTAGCGTAGCCCGACTTTAGTATCCGATTAGAGTATCCGATTTAGTTCAAACTCAGTACATTGTAATATTGTTATCAAACTTAGATTGAGTTCGGAGATGGACAATATCGGTCCACTCCGTCTGGTACCACCTACACCCCTCAAAAGGTCAAAATTTTCAAAAAAAATAATTTAGCTAATAGAACAAGAAGAGGCCATCCAATTTGATTCAAACTTTGCCAGTTTGATACGACCCAATAGTCGAATCAGTGCCAGGTTGGGTTTGAAAATGGGCATTATCGGCCAACTCTATTAATTACCTACCCACCAAGTGTCATCATTTGGAATAATTAAAACTCTGAAAATATATGAAATAAGAGCGTGATTTCACAAATTTCAAACATTTTTTATTAAAACAAGACATTGTGTGAAGGTAGGATTTATCGGTCTAATACTCCTCGTACCTCCCCCATAAAGTTTCAAAATTTTTCTTTAAATTTCAGGTATCCCACTACCCCGATATCTATCATTCTCACACCCGAACGTGTGTTAGTAAAACATATTGGGGTACATGAAATTTGAAGAAAATCTGATGCTCATTTCGCATTTTATAAGAGATTATATAATTCAAATTTTTTTGGTACCTCTTCGATAAATGTTCCGGGTTTGCAATATGCAAAACAAGTCGGCGAATCTTTTCAAACATGGTATATCTAAATATTTTTCTTAATCAGAGATCTGATGTTAATTTGGAATTTATAGGCTCAGAACCTCCCCAATAAATAGTTAAAAGTTATGATTAACAATTATTCGCAACCTCTTATTTATAGATGTCTTAATCGTCTTAAATTTTGCACATTCCGAAGAAAAGCATCCGGTTCTCTTCAAATTACACACATCACAATTCTTTTATTAACCCAAGGTCTGGTGTGAATATGGACTATATCGGTCCACACCTTCTGGTATACCCCCCCCCCCCCCCCCCCCCCCATAAAGGCTTACAATTTTGAATGACCATGAAGTTCATAAAACGCGATTCCGATTCCATTCACACTTGGTACATCTAAATATTTCCCTCAGCCAGAAACTTGGGATGAATATGGATTTTATGATGAAGTTACCAATATGGACCAAAATCTGGTACGTCCCAATATTTATGCCGTAGTTATTTAGGTCCGAGATGAAATGGACAATTTTGGCCCAATTCTTCAGAACCCACTCCATAGAGGGTCAAGAGTTTGAATACTCATAGCAGATGTCAAAATACATTTAAATAATCGAACAATGGCTGAGGGTATTAGTCTGTCGGCAAAATCGATTGATAACTTGATAACTTGTTTTTTAATAATTTCAGTGTATAATATTTTCTAAGCAGTTAGGCTTAATCCCATTCTTGATGTTTTTATACCCTCCACCATACGTAGTATGGAGGGCATATTAAGTTGGCCATTCCGTTTATAACTCCTCGAAATAAGCATTTCAAATCCTACAATGTACTTATATTTTGGATCAGCTTAAAATTCTATGTCGATTTAGCTATGTCTGTTCGTCTGTGGATAACACTCTAGATTCCGAACGAAATGACATAGGTCTTAGGTCCGTAGAATTTTTATTATTTTTTATAGGTATTGTTATTTGGAGTTCGTTACAGGCTCCACCTTCTCTGACAAACAATTGGCAATAGAGGACCACGTTTTCGGATACAAAAAAAGACATTTTAATGGTATTTGTGATTTCGCCGGGGTTAAAACATTCACGATTTAATGGAAATTTTAGTTTTTTGTTTCGTTCTGAATCTAGAGTGATTTCTACAGACAGACATACATCGCTAAATCGACATAAAATTTTATGCCGATCTTGAATATTTAGGGTCGAAAATGTATATTTCCATGAGTTTCAAACGGAATGAGAAACTTAATATACCCTCCATACTAAACGCTAACAGTGTTCGAGTCTCCATGAATTTATCACATTAATATTTTTTTTTTTTTTCGAATAAAAAAGTGTGAAAATAAATTTAAAAAAAGTTTGAAAATATAATTTTCCACAAATAAAAATCTTTTTGTAAAGAATATTCTATATTGAATGGGAATAAAAATTGTACAAAAATAACTTGTAATTGGAATTGAATGACATAGCCCTTTGTTTGTGTGTGGCGTTTTTCCAACGAATATTCATATCAATATTCCCATGCTTTTACAGAAATTAATGCAATTTCCATTTTTTTTTTTCTCTCGTTTCAGCGGCGACACAACGGAATCCGATTTGTGTCGCGTTTTTTCCGCCTATGGCAATGTGAAATCAACAAAAATAATTGTCGATCGAGCTGGTGTCAGTAAAGGTTATGGTTTTGTAACCTTCGAAACCGAACAGGAGGCACAAAGGCTGCAAACGGATGTAAGTTTTTTTGCAACATTTCATTTTTGTTTTTTTTTTTTTCTGTGCTCACATTCATTGAAAGCGCTTTCAGTTTTTTTACTTTTTTTTCTTCACACACCTCCCATTTGCCCCCTTTTCATTGAGGTAACCTGCTATTCCTGTCCCGAATTCTGTCTATCCACCCAATAACAACCATTGCTTTTTGCATCATAAAATAGATGATTGTTAGTGCGACACAAAAATAAAATCCAAAAAATTTTGTTTAATTATTATTATTTTTTTCGTGTGGAAAGGCTGTCCTCATTTAGAGTATCTTCTTTGTTTTTCAAAATAAATATTTGTATTTTTCATTTGTATAAAGAATGCAAAACAACAACAACAAATCAACGATTTTAAACCATAAAAATTAATCCTTCTTTTTTCATTTTTTATTTACTTTATTTTTGTTTTTAATCCAAATTCCCATTTGCCAATACCCACACACGCCGCTGTCATTATATTTTTGTCTTAGGCCGTAACTTGAATGGTTCAAACAATAAAACGAAGTTTGAATGAAAACGTGTTTTTTCTCTCTTGCTACGTTTCATTGTTTACGTAACGTAACTTTTCTACGTGACGACTAATTACAAGAAGAGCCAATGGACGTGAGCGCATGTGTGTGTGTTTGTATTTAAAAATTGAGATTGAGAGCTACTTATCTGTATCTCTCTATCTCTCTCTCTTGTAACGGTAACTAGTTCTCATGAACTATTGCGGAGAAAATGAAGAAGATGTCAACGATGACAACGACGACGATGAAGAAGATGATGATGATGATGACGACGGCAACGACAACAGCAGTTAGTCTTTCCGTAACGTAATTAGTAATTTTTCTTAAAACCAAGCAATAACTCAAAACATTGCGTTTTCGTTACACGTTCACGTTAACTTTTTCAAAACGTTTTTTTTTTTTTGTTATACGTTACGTTGTTTCTTTTTACATATTGTTTCTTTTTTTATATATATATTCTTTCATATTTCAATTTTTTTTCTTTTTACAAAATTTAACGTTGCGTTCAGTTCCGTTCCGTTGAGTTCGTATTTTCTTTTGATACATATTTTTTTTTTCAATTTTAATATGCAAATATTTACTTTTATGTATTTTGGTTTCAAATGATTTTAATATTACGTTTATTTTTTTTCTTTCTTGTTTCAAATTCGATTACTACCACCCACTTACTACCAGCATTCTGTTCTCGTTCTCTTTCAATACTTAACTCTAGAGAAACTGCAACACTCATTTGAAAATTTAGCCAAGCAAGAAAATCGTTTACAGTGCGTTTAACAGTTGTTTTCACATTACAATTAACGTTGTTAATTATTTAATTAGCAAAAATTTTTATTTGTGTGTGTGTGTTTGTGTGCGTCTTTGTATAGAATGGAATTTAGCCGAAAAGGAACCAAGGAATTACAAAACTAGTTTACAAAACTGCATTATTGCATTATTTTAATTTTGTTTGGTTTTATTTTTATTCTACCAACTGAAACTGAAAAGAATTGATTTCGCAAAACTATCGATCGGAAAGATATCCCGCTCATTTAGTGTCTAGTTCCTGTCGTTTCCGAATTTAATTTCGCACAATGGGTATCACTGTATACTTTAAATTTTCAAAAAGCCGAACATTTTTCGATATTGGAAATTGATTTTGAATATGGATTTTTATTTTTTGGAAGCCCCGAGAGAAACCTTTCATTAGGTGCTATTACCTTATCCCCAGATATACTAGTTTTCGAACAGTGAACAATAATATTGGTATATTTGTCGGGGTTGCTGATTTCAATTTATATGTTCTATTGTATTAATCTTATGTATTAAATTTTTCGATAATTGTATTTATTTTAATGATTTTTATTAAAAAAAGTTAGTTAACATTGTTAAAAGTACCAGCTAAGAATTTTTCGTATCCTTACAGTTCGAATTTCCAAAAAATCATTCCGTTTGTCCAATACAAAGTATTAAATTTTTAGAACATTTTAGCACTTTCTTACCCTTTAGTCCTATCTCTACCATCTTTATACTAGATCTTATGTTGGTAGAAACATTGGGATCTGCATTATTTGAGGACAATAAGAGATATTATTATTATTCAAAATTGTAACCCCTAGTGGGGGGGGGGTTGTACCACTAGTAGAGGTGTGTCAATCAAGTTCGATCGAACGAAAAAGTTCCTTATCTAGTTACGTACACTGGTTTGGATGAAAACTCTCCGTATGAGTGTTATGAAATGCATGATATTTATGAAATCACTCATACTTTTAGGAACTGGTGTACTGAACTATAAACTAGATCGGTACAGACTAGATTTTGTGTTGGTATAAATATTTGGATGTGCCAAGTTTAAAAGGGATCGTATGTTCATTTCACCGTTTGTGAGCATGTTGGTTTTTAAAAATTTTGACCGCTTTTTGAAGGGGAGGTACTTGATGGAGTGGCCCTGAGTAGCACTGATAAAAATATTAGGATTTGCAAAGTTTGAACAAAATTTGATGATACTGGTTCTAAAGAGTAAATAATTTTCAGTAAAAATGTGGGGGATATACCAGAAGGAGTTAAACGATTTAGATTTGATAATAATATTTCGATATACCAAGTTTGGACCTAATCGAATACTCCCTTCGAGACTTATCGTGCGCACCAGCCAGCCAGACGGACCCCTAGATCGACTCCAAATGTTCTGAAAAGGGTTTAATACAAAAAGAGGCCTTGGGTCTAAAACCGTAATTTCGATGAGGCACGTTTTGGCCGTATCAAATGACATATACCTTCTGTTGCCATATTGCTGACGGTATAACTAGAAAATAGCAAATCGTCAGAATATTTCTGAGCGGAGTTATTTATCCAGAATGTTCAGTAGCAGAAAGAGATTTTCCAGCAAAGTGCTTTACAAATATCTAAAAATTGTATTTATTTGAAAGACTTCCCCCTACTACATAATTGTAACAAACTTTCATTCAGTTCGGAGATTGACAATTTCTGGATACCTGCCACACAAAAATGCTAAATTTTTCAAAAAAACAAAAACGGAAAATATCGCTTAAATGAAACCGTTACATGGGTGCTATACGAAGACATGGACTTGCATAAGTAATTTTCTGCCATAGACTTTAGAACCGATTCCGAACTTTAAATACGAAATTTGAAACAACTCCGGTGAATAATGTCGCTAAAATCAACCAAATATCGAATATAACTTTGCAAACTGTTAGCCTTCTATCTCAATTCGCTCGACAGTTAGCGTGATTACAACAGACAGACAGACATACATTTGTTCGAATTGGTCACCTTTGGCACGAACTATGGCCTTCAAACGGCCAATGAAACCGTCAAACGCTACCTGAATGTTGCTCTGTGGCATTTTGGCCCATTCCCGGCGAAGCGCTTGCGTGAGGTGAACGACACTTTGGTTTTTTTTTTTTAGTGCCAACCTTGCTTCCCAAAATACTCCAGACACAATAGTCCAACGGATTGGTATCCAGAGATTTTGGTGGCCATTGTGCGCTGGAAATGAAGCGAGGAACCTCATTTTGTAACCATTCTTGAGTGGCGCGTGCCGAATGCGATGGTGCTGAGTCCTGTTGGAATGTCCAAGGTCTGCGGCCAAAATGTTTGCGTGCCCAAGGCTTATTCAGAATATTTTCACGATCATATTTGGCATTAATTCTGATACCACGGTCGATTAATATGATCGGAGAGCGACCATCGGGTGTTATGGCGGTCCACACCAACAGCATGGCCTGTGCTTGAGTTCTGGTGACCAACCGGTGCACATTTTCAGCTGACCTCTTTGGCAAGTAAACACGATCATTTTGATTGTTTGCAAACAGCTGGACAACGAATGTTTTCTCATCGTTTTCTTCTAGTTGCGGTGTAAGTTCTTGCACTTTTTGGAATTTCAATGGCTTTAACCCGAGCTCATTTTTCAATATTTGCCGATAAAGTCGCTTCTTTACTTTTCTTACCATTTCTGTTGATGTAGTTGTTTTCTTCCGTCCACTTCCTTGACGTCGGGCTACGCTACCAGTATCACGGCAACGAGCGATGGTACGAGACACAAAAGCTTTATTCACATTTAAATGCTGGAGTGCTCTAACGAGTGCTCTAACGAAAACCTGTGGTTTTCCAGCCAAATATAAAGAAATCACATTATCACGCTTGAATACCATCACCAATAACTTTTTTTCTGGAGAATTCTCACCAAAATGCTTTTGTACGCTTGTAAACAATATAATGAGCTGTCACTGGAATAATTTTAACAGATGTCGGACAAGTGGTTTAGAAATGACAGCAGCCTGAAGTTGGTTGCAATTCTTTTATCTCACCCTGTAACTGTATTTAGCCTTCAATCGCATAAAGATATGGTCGAGCCACTCCATGTGGTATCTCATAGACAAATGTAACAAATACTAATCATAGCCTTCATGAAATGCCTACTCAATTTGATAAATCCTAATAAAAATGCAATTGACATTTAAAATTATTGTTCAGTAGTTCAGCTTTCACTGCTTCGTGAAACAGATGCAATTAACAAAACAATCATTCCACATACGCCCATTGTAAAATTTGAATATTATAACAAAAACCAAATTAGAAATAGCATTTCTTTCTATTCTACCTAAGATTCCATGTGAATAGTAAATCTACTGTCAATCCCTAAACAAGATTTCGATGTGGGTAACAAAACTATAATTAATTAGAAAGATATTGCAATTCTCAACGTTTTCCCAAAAACAGGCTGTACACATTTCTAATAACACCCACCACAAAAGTAGATTGTGTCACATTTGAAAACCGCCCACTTACTTTCTCAGCACATCTCCGAGTGCCACAATTTTGGGTTCCACATCTGTGGAAATACGTTGTGTGTGGTGTTCATAATCGGATTTTGTCAAGTGATGAGCGTTTGTTGAAATTCATTCAGCGCTTCGATTGTGTCTGTGGGTGTTAATTTTGTAATTATTAACAACTAACTCAAAACGCT